ACAGGGCACTGGGCTAGGGAGGTGACCCTGCGTTCAGTCAGTCGTCGTTAGTGCCATGGTGTGCCCGGCCCTGGTGTAGCTGGTGGGGTGACAGCCGGGAGCAGCCTGCTCCCTGCTCCCTAGAGCTTACATTGTTTGAGCACCTCGTAAATAAAAGACCAGACCAAATCAAACAAGCACACTGCCCTCGAGTCCACTCGGACTCCTAGTGACCCACTGGAGGGTTTTGAAATGAAAAGAGCCAGCCTCATTTCTCTCTCTCGGAGAAGCTGGTGGGTTTGAACTGATGACCTTGCAGCTAGCAAACCAACTCCTACCCCACAGTGCTAGCAGGGCCCCCAGATAAATGCCCAGTTGCTCTGCCTAGTGCTAAGAGCTCTGAGGCAACAGGACCTCTCCCATGCTGTGTCCAGTGCCGTCCCGTGGGACAGAGTAAAACCGCCCCTTAGGGTTTCCGAGTCTGTAAGTCTTGATGGGAGCAGACAGCCTCATCCTGCTCCCTTGGAGTGGCTGGGTGAGTTTGAACACTGGCCTTGCCTCAGGCCTGACCGGCAGGGCTCCTTTTGCACGTATGATGGAACCATTTTTCTGCTCTAGGTGTTTCCAATTGGGGAGGCTATGCCTTGGCCTGTGCACTGTTCATCCTAAACACATGCTCGGTCCACGGACGCTACCTGAGAAGGGCAGTCGGCCTTCCCAGAGCACCTGGGGACCAGGTCTGGGCTCAAGCCCTCCCATCCATCACCAAGGTAACACCCCCTGCGAGCCAATCCCAGGGGAGGAACCTTCTCCAGGGAGGCATGGGCCTGGCGGGCCGGGGGCGCAGAGCCTGCCTTGAAGCAAAGGTCTTGCTTGCGGCAGACAGGCGGTGGGCTGGATGGGTGACCCCTGACTCACAGCATAGGGGACCTATACGAGTGGCCTGTCCCTTCTACTTGGACTTCAGGAGAACTTCTTGGAGCCTTGTCTTCTTTGTCTGTGACACGGGGGCAGTGTGCTGTGTGGCTGGAGGAACTGGCCACTTGACCAGGGCCGTGGCAGGCATGTCACACAGGTGTCCTGGGGTGTCCCCATCCCCCTCCTAGAGTTTCTGAGACAGTTAGCTGTCCATCAGACGTCAGCAGCCTCCTGTACCGAAGTCAAGGATGGAGAGGACAGAGTGCAGTGCACTGGGCGGGAGTGAGCCCTGGGTGGGGGCCGGTGGAAGAAAGCAATTGCTGCAGGTGGGAGGGCAGGTAGGACCTGGAGCTGGGGGTGGAGGTGGGGGAGCTGCACCCTGGGTGAGTGAGGGCAGGGGCTGGGCTGGGGGCAGGGGTCTGTGATAGGCTTAGAGGACTTCTGACTCAGGATGCATGAGGAGGGGTCCACGTGCCCCCTAAAATCATCTGTGAACTTGCTCCTCTGCATGCAAAGACCCACAGTCTCACCCGATTGTCAGTGTAGTCAGGGGCCTGGCAGGAGGGAGGGGGTGTTAGCCAGAGCAGCAAGCCATGGTACCCTCACTGAGCACCCCATGCGTAATCAGAGAGGGAAGAGGGGACCACCAACCACCAGAGGCCTGGGAGCCCCATCC